GGGGGGACCCGGGAGAAGGCTCCGGCCCCGTCTGCCTTCGGCCAGGAGCAGCGGGTGCGGGGCTGGGGGGGTGGGGGGAGCCGGTCCCCCCCGCCGTGACAGGGGGCTGCCCCCGCACTCAGCTGGGACTCGGTGTCCTACAGCCCCGAACTCTTTTTGTTTGGTTGTTTTGGTTTTTTACCTGGAAAGTGGGTTATAAATAACGCGGTGTCCGAGAAGCGGGGGGGGAACCTCCGTCCCGAGCTGCAGCCCTGCGGGGATGCGCCTCCGCCTTTTCGGATGTGCCCGCTCCACGCGTGTCCTCCCCGCGGGGCTCGGGGGGGGACCCAGGGGGGCTGGGGCGGCACAGTAATAAAGAGTTTTAACTGCTAGGAGCAGTAACTTCCGTAACTGCAATAGTCACAGAATGCGGTTTTCTGGGACAGTTTCTTATTCCGCTCTGGAACGACTTCAGTGCCTCCTTTTCTGGGGTTTCTTGTATTAATTCCTCAGCAGTGCCTCTAGCACCCGGGGCTGGAGGTTCCTCTACCACCTAACTCTCCCCCCCGTAGTTATTCTGGAGGTATCGTCAAAGATACACGTGGTAATTAACTGGATTTAGCTGCCGGTTCGTGCCAGGAGGGATGACTTAATTTCGATGCAGTGTTTTAGCACCTAAGCCCGGGGTGGCTTGTGAGGAAACCTCAGTGTTTCGAGTCAGGGTCTTAGAACCTGCAACACGTTGGCTGGGTTTGGTTTTTCTCTTATACTCAATTAACAGAGGAGAGAGTAATACAGCATGTACTGCCAAAATCAGGAAATACTTTATAAACGGCAGTAATACAGCACTTTACTCCCAAGGATACTATTCTTTTGCAGGCTTATATTAGGCTATCTAATAGTCTTCCTCAGCTTTTAACAATTCCCTGGCACTTTATGCAGGATTTAAAGCAGATGGAAGCGGATCCTATCAGTGACTGATGATAGGTTTTGAACTCATTTAACTACTTAGGATAAGGCTCAATGATGCTGTCACTGTAAGCCTTCGTTTTGTCAGGTATTATCCTGGGAAATTGCATGCCGAGTGCAAAGTGCCTTACCTCTAAACGTCCTGAAATTATAAACTACAGAGATGACTAAATTAATAAATGCAGTTCCTTCTGTCACACAGGAAGGGTTTTAACATACAGAAACACTGCAGTTATTTAAGGCCGTGACAAAAAGATTTAAGTGAGGGAAGCAGCTCTGCGTCTCTCGTTGAGATTTCATCAGACAATTTATATACTCACACTTTTTACAGGCACGCAGCCTGTGGCTGATCGATGGGTTTTCCTGGGGTGGGCACAGCGTTGGGGTTTTTTTTTTACTGCAGGTTTCTCAATAAGAACAAACCAGAACTGGCAGTGGAGAATTCAGATGCCAGTCAAGGATAACAGGGCCTAGATCCCCCAGGTGCCTGTGTAGTAAGAATCTGTTGTGGCAAATTTGACACAAATAGAAGCAAACAAAAATGAGGTTGAAAGCTGAAGTGTCAGCCATAGTTTTATGTTGTCAGTCTACTGGTGGTGCTTTCTTATGAATGATATTGTAGACCCCGTGTGACGTGTACACAGATTATAGTGAGTAAATAACTGCACCCACTTTGGGTGTGCACTTTGCTCAAATTTAATAGATTCTGTTTAAAGTTCCTGACTTGAATATTCTGCCTGTCCTTCTGCCCTGTACAGACTGTCGTGCAAAAGGACATCCTAAAAGCAAGATGAACAAGACCACCAACATTAGTCAGATCAGTAACTTTACTTGCCACGTACCTGTTTGGACAGATCTCTGCCCCTTGAGGAGACGGGGAGCTCGCAGCAGTGGTTTGTGTGTGTCTGTCCCTGGGAGGGTGGTGACAAATGCTCTCAGAGGTGGTTACGTTGGTTTTCGCTGACAGCAGAGCAGAGAGATTCTGGATTCCTGAAATGAGTCTCACCTCCCGAGGGAAGACTCTTGACTCTTGAAATGAGCTGTAGTCCTGGCGGGGAATGAGTACAGAATAAAGTCAACGGTTTCTCTCAGGTTTAAAGCTGCTGCAATATGTGTCACATATCGTTGCTTTTGCCCATGCCCAGCTTCTTCTTCATTTGTCACCCTCAACTCCTGTTGCTCTCCCCCCTCTTCCAGCTCTTTCCTTGCCTATTTCTGCTTTCCTCTTGCCTGTTACCAACCGTCTCTCCATCCTAAGGCAACGGCTCTGATCTCTGAATGGGGATGTGAAAAGGAGCACCGAGAGACGCAGCTTTGTTTTGTTCTACGTTCCCTTCAGTGCCTGGTTGAGAAGGGGAGAAAACGTGTCAATCCCCCAGCCTCAGGACACCAACCAGAGAAGGGACACTGAGAAAAAGTAATTGCCGAGCTCTTTCTTGATGCAAACTGTGGGGTGATGACAGGACAAGAGGAACTCCCCTGCCTGCAAAGTTGCTGCTTTCCAGCTGAGCTGATGTCTGCTGCGTGTTGTCACTGTGAAGAACAACTCTTTAATATGAACTCCTATAAAGGTGGTTTAGATTAGCATATTTTACTCCAAAAAAAAAAAAAAAAAAAAAAAAAAAAAAAAAAAACAAACCCCAACAGACCAGCCTTGTGAGATTTGGGATAATGGTAGGCAAGGAAGTTTTTCCTTTTCTGGAATGACTGACTTTTAGAAGCAGCTTTCCAAAATACTCCTGCCTAGGCGACAAACCAGCCTTGTGAGATCTGGGATAATGGTAGGCAAGGAAATTTTCCTTTTCTGGAATGACTGACTTTTGGAAGCAGCTTTCCAAAATACTCCTGCCTAGGGCAGGCACCTGGCATGGAAAACTCCATCCTGAATGGTTCAAAACTTGGCAATGTTTTTAAATGATTGAAGAAACTTATAATGAAAAGTAATAAGCAATCAAGTGTATAAGCAATCAACTACCTGTTTTATCTGTAATGTTGTTTCATAACTAACTTAAAGGTAGAAAGTCATATGGTGATTTTCTATTTTTATACTTGGGCTTTTTAAAGCTGCTTTCTTCTGATGGCAAAATCCCTCCTTAAATACTTTCCTGTATTATATGTTCTAATAAATGTTTTCCAGGTAGGTCTTTATCATTTTTATTCTTCAATTATAAAACCCCAAAAGAAGAACATACTCTTTACAGCACTAGCTTAATTGGTACGAAAACTACTCAGACTTTTGCAGCGAAATGAGTTAGAATGACATTTGGTTTGATTGATAGTAAATGGCAGTAGTGCTGTTTCAGCAAACACCTAAAATCTTTGTCATATCATTAAAATCATTGGGAAGTAAAGATATTAAAATAATTATAGGAGTTTTGTATGTCAAATATCAGTCTCGGTAAGACACTATTGCTGTCACATAAAATTAATATTTACTGCTGGCACAGTTGAATATTTTACATACCCATTCTTTCTTATAACATCATTAACCACATGTTTAACTAAGCTGCTGCCAGTGTTGAGTGTTACTCTCAGCTTTGGCACTTGCAATTATCTCGTTACAAGTACTTTTCAGCAATATCTTTTAGTCTAATCGAACAGTAATTTATTCACCTCCTTACATGCTACTAAACACTTCAGATCTCCACATTTATCATGTAAAACT